ATTCCTAATTTTCTGAGAAACCGCCATACTGATTTCCATAGTGGTTGTACCCGTTTACATTCCCACCAACAGTGGAGGAGTGTTCCCTTTGCTCCACATCCTCTCCAACATTGGTTGTCATTGGTGCTTACTATATTTTATATTATCCCTTAGAAGTCTGTTTTCTAATGAGAGATAGAAAGGGATTAGGTCTGGATGGAAGAGGAGGTGGGGAGAAAATGGGATGGAGGAGAGCATATTCAGGATATATTATATGAGAAAAAAATCTATGTTCAATAAAAGGAAAAAAGGAGAAGAGCCCCAGCCCATATATCCTTACAAGCTATTGGGTCAGCAAAAACACCTGGGAGTTCACTGTCTTAAAGAATCCCGGTCTGGAGAACTGGTCTAGAAGACCATTAGCATGGGTTATGTTAAGGACGGGATTTATATTTCATTAGTAGAGTCAACAAAGATGGAATCAAGAGGGCCTGTGCCCCGTGGAGTTCTAAACATCCAGATCGTGCCCTAAGGTAGGAAGGCAGCTGAGCCACAGTGGTTTGTGATAAGAGCAGCCCCATTGTCTCCATGAAAAATGTGTGGCACTCTCTGAGAAAGACTGAAGACTGAGAAGTGGTGGGGCAGGTAAAGGAACCACAAACAGTGCAGCTTTGTAAACTGGAGTGAGACAGGCTAGAGATGGACAGGGGTTTCTTAGGCCTCACATCTCACTCATCAGAGTTTCTATCCATTACCCTTGCAAGTAAAATATCACCATATTTTTCAGATGCTAAACCTGAAGTTTACAGATGTTGAACATTTCCTCAAGCATGCAAACAGATGACTGCAAGAATTCCACTAAATTTCTGAATTCCTTGGATCTCAAACCATTGATGGTGTAACTTACTTACACAAAGAGAAAAGAGATAAGGATTGTATACAATTTATTTCAAAGAAAAATGAGGCAGTCTAAGGATAAATAACACAGAGTATGTATTTTGTGGTGGTATTGTGTTCCTCAAAATATTGTGCACCCTAATAAACTTATCTGGGGTCAGAGATAGAACAGCCACAATATTAAACATAGAGGATAGGCACTGGTAGCACACGCCTTTAATCCCAGCACTTGGGAGGCAGAGCTAGGCAGAAATCCATGTGTTCAAGGATACAGCCAAGCATGGTGACTCATGCCTTTAATCCCAGGGAGTGATAGTAGAAGGCAGAAAGATATATAAGGCGTGAGGACCAGGAACAAGAGGCATTTGGCCTTGTTAAGCATTTGGCTGGTTAAGCTTTCAGGCTTTGGAGCAGCAGCTGAGATTCATTCTGGATGAGGACTCAGAGGCCTCCAGTCTGAGGAAACAGGATCAGCTGAGGAATTGGCAAGGTGAGATAGCTGTGGTTTGTTCTGCTTCTCTGATCTACCAGCATTTACCCCAATAACTGGCCTCAGGTTTGATCTTATTAATAAGAACTTTTAAGATTCATGCTACAGTATTTCATTTTCTGTTCTATAAGTTCGGATGTTTTGTTGTCCTTGGGTTGATCATATTTGTGATCTTCCAGTACAGAAAAGGCAGGGGCTTGGGGAAGCAGGAAGAGCAGAGAAGTAATTTCTTTCCCTCTAGCATAGCTTCCCAGCTTAGCAGCTATGTAGAGCCAAGGAGAATAAAAAGGGGAATCCAGGATGATAGACCGTCTGTTTACTTCTGTCTAACTGAAGAGGCTTCAGTAATTTTAGCTCCACCTCAAAGAGATTGGTTTCTACTTGTTTTCTGTTGATAGTTTTACATTTTAGTGAGTGGAGGTCATGGTAATTTTGTTTTCCAGAGTCTCAAGGCCACCCTAACAAAAGTGTTTTTAATCTTCAATCCACACAATCAAGTAGAGGGGAGAAGTTATATGTTCAGAAGTCTGGGAATTAATGTACCTTTTGGAGGTAGTATCTGCACTGTATATTCAATTTTTGCCTAAATGGGGATGTATTACAAAAGGCAATAGATATTTAAGGCATTTATTATCAGACAATAGATGATTAAATCTTTGAGGAGAAGATCTATGTCTTTCCATTTTGTCATTTTATTTTTGGAAGACTACCCTCCAGGTGACTTTGGAACATTCCTGTCACATTTGTAATGCTCAAGGATAACCAAAGTATGAAACAGAGGCTACAACATCATGGGATGAAGAAGAACTGACTGGAAAAGCCAAGGCTTGGCTTCAGTCTCCATAGAGACAGGAGTCTTAACAGCTTTAGTTGTCATTTTGCCTCTGGGGTATAAAAGCCAATGCTGGCTGATTTTTGATTTTGCTCACATACAGTGCAAGTAAGACACATGCAGATGGGATGCTGTGCCCCAGGCAGCATCCAGGCAGCATCTGTCCTAGCCTCTAGGAACCATTTATGATGAATGTGAGGTCTCTTTGTCGCTCACTGCACAATTGTAATGTATAAACTCTTTCCATGAAACACCTGGTGTGTATTAGAGTCTTCCTCACTAGACCTGGCAGGTAGGAAAGTGTAGCTCAAGACACAGTGGGTTGAAGTGTTTAAACTTCTATACTTGATGATCGGCATGATGGTGATCTTTGCTTTCCTTCATTTGGAGGGAGTTTACTCTTTGGGAATCAGTGATCTTAGTTTATAATTTCCTAGTGTAGTACTTATTCTTTTTTCCCCTTTTATTTTATTTTACAGTACCATTCATTTCTACATATCAGCCACGGATTCCCTTGTTCTCCCCCCTTCTGCCCCCCTCCATTCCTCCCAGCCCACCCCCCATTCCCACCTCCTCCAGGGCAAAGCCTCCCCCGAGGACTGAGACTGACCTTGTAGACTCAGTCCAGGCAGGTCCAGTCCCCTCCTCCCAGACTGGGCCAAGTGTCCCTGCATAAGCCCCAGGTTTCAAACAGCCAACTCTTGCAATGAGCACAGGACCTGGTACCACTGCCTAGATGCCTCCCAAACAAATCAAGCCAATCAACTGTCTCACCTATTCAGAGGGCCTGATCCAGTTGGGGGCCCCTCAGCCTTTGGTTCATAGTTCATGTGTTTCCATTCATTTG